TCAGGTCGTCGGCGCGGGGGATGGGGTACCGCGATTTGACTGTTACCCTGTTGAGCGCTCGGTAATCGATGCACACGCGAAAACCTCCGTCTTTTTTCGGTGTGAACAGTATCGGTGCGGCGAACGGTGACGAGCTCGGTCGGATGAACTGCTTCTCTAACAGGTAATCTAATTGCTTCCTTAGTTCCTCAAGCTCGGGCTGGGTCAGTCTGAACTGGCGCTGTACAGTTGGCTGTGCTCCCGGTTCTAACTCGATCCTATGGTCGTGTGCCCGCTGAGGTGGCAGCCCTTGCGGTAAGTCGTCGGGGAAAATCCTTGAGTATCGTTTCAACAGTTCTTGAAGTTCGGGCGGTACTGCTGCCAGCAGTTTCTGAAAATCGCTCGGCTGCTCCTCTTTTCCTACTAATGCTATATCTACTGCGTACACGTCAGCTCTCGCGGCGACAACTCGTTTCATCGTGATGGCATTGACGTGGACCGTCGGAGACTCGTGTCGAGAGAATAAGTGAGTTGAGAGGTGGGGCCTAGGCTTAGTAGCCTAGGCCCGAACTTAGGTATCGAGCGGGTTTTCACCTAGGCAAGGTGTCGAGTGAGTTGAGAGGGGAAATTGGAGAATGAAGATGGTTTCACTATAGGTTCAAGGGTACATATAGCATAGAAACCAAATAAGGTGCACCACCACCAACAGTTTACATAACTACACTAACTACAACTACAAGCAGTTATAAAACATGACAAAATATTTCGACACGCCCCCATAATGCTTGTAGGTAGATGTGTAGTTCCAGCATAGCAAGCAACAGCAGGTACCCCTTCCGTCTCCTCACCCTCCTCCTTCCCCTCCCCCACACTGCTGCAGGAGCAGCAGAGAAGGGGGGGAAGAGAGGAGAGGTGGAGGGACGGCTGCATGTTGCCTCACACCCGCCACCCCGTTACCACTCCCCCTGCTCCCCCACATCCTCACACCCTCCCCCCCCAGCGGCAGCTGCAGCGGTGGGACTGAAAGAAGGAGGAGGGGAAGGGAGAGAGGTGACGCCACACTCCAACACCCTCCACCCCCATACCCTCCTCCCCACGGATGCAGGGAGACAAAGGAGGAGGGGGTGGGAAGGAAGAAAGCCGCAGAGCGGCGGCGTCGGTGCAGATGGGTCAGGGGCGGCTCCAGAGAGTGCAGGGGCGGAAAGGCCCGTCGCGGGCCAGTGCCACGGGGCGCACGACGGGTAGAAGAAGAAGACAGGCCCGATCGTGCGCCTAGGGGCGCACGACGAGCAGGGCACCATCGTGTGCCACGGGGCGCACGATGGGCAGATGAAGGGCACCGTCGCGTGCCACGGGGCGCGCGACGGGCAGAGAAGGAGCCACACACCCGTGGGCGGGACTAATTAAAAAATCGTCACGCGCCCTAGGCGCGCGACCGAAAACTCATCGCGGAAGCGTAAGGCGGGCACACAGGCCAAGTCGTAAAAATGCTCCGATTCCATGTCGAGAGAATAAGTGAGTTAAGAGGTGGGGCCTAGGCTTAGTAGCCTAGGCCCGAACTTAGGTATCGAGCGGGTTTTCACCTAGGCTAGGTGTCGAGTGAGTTGAGAGGGGAAATTGGAGAATGAAGATGGTTTCACTATAGGTTCAAGGGTACATATAGCATAGAAACCAAATAAGGTGCACCACCACCAACAGTTTACATAACTACACTAACTACAACTACAAGCAGTTATAAAACATGACAAAATATTTCGACAACTCGGGCGACTGCCAGCGAGGTAATTCGACCCAGTTACCATTACTTCGCACGGTGCAGCTACCCGTCGTCCAGTCGATTTGCGGGTTATACCGTCGCAGCCAATCACGTCCCAATAAAATGTTGTGCCCATCCAGTGTCGTTGCGAGCATTTCTTGTGTAAATCCGAAGTTCCCCCCGCAGCGGACTTTTACTCGCTCCACCTTTTCCCGTATGGCCAGTGGCGTGCCGTCGACTAAGCGCGCGTCTATCTCAGGTAAGCAACGGTTAAGTGTTAACTGCAGTTTCCGTGCGGTCGCGGTATTAACTAAAGTGTGGCTTGCTCCTCCGTCAATAAAAATCTTGACTGCGGGTCCCTGTATTTTCCCGTAGATCAGTACCGGGCAATCCGTCGCTGTACCCTCCTTATTCGTCCGAGCCCGATCGATGGCGTGAATCGGTACTGTGACTCGGTGAGGGTCGGTGTGGTTGGGCGAGCAGGCAGTCTCGTCAGTAGTTGGCCCAACTTCTACTGACTGCTGGCGTTTCCCTGCCTCTGAGACTCCCTCCCCTTCTCTGCTCCACGGCGCCGCAGCTCCTCTGGGCACTCGCTCTTGCGGTGGCCCGGCTTGTTGCAAGCAAAGCAGCGCCCCTTAAACGGTGCGGCAGCTGCATTCGTCGCAACGGCGTGTACAGTGGCGTGCTCGGTCGGTCCCCGAGGACGATGTCCGTAGTAGGACCCCAGTCTCGGTCGGCGTAGGATGTCGATTTTCTCGGCGAGCGCGAGAATCTCGTTGAAGTTCGAGAGTCCGCGCAACATTATTTTGTGCGAGATATCCGGCTTCAGCCCTCCGACGTAACGGTCCACCCGCTCCGCTTCGTGCATGTAGCCAACCTGCTCGCAAAGTGCGAGAAAGCCGCTTGTGTAGTCTTGAACCGACCCGAGCTGGCGCCAAGTGCGCAATCTCTGACGCGCCGAAATCGAAGCCGCGATCGGCTCGAAGCGCGCCCGAAGCCCTGCGCACCACGCATCCCACGTGCTGTATTGGGCGGTCTCGCAGAACGAACTCCAGGTGACAGCTGGACCCGTGGGCCCTTCCTCTTGCGACGGTGGCTCGTAGGCGCGTAGCGACGTCACGATGACTCGCCACCAGTCCATGGCAGGGCCCCTTAGCAGTGAAACTGCATACCGAATCTTCGCGGCATCCGACTCGACGTAGTTTGCATCGAAGAAGACGTTCATCGTGAAGACCCACGATTGAACCGTCGGACCCCCGCGTTGGCTTGGGTCAAAGCAGGGCGGGCGTTGCGGCTTGAGCGGCATTGGTGCCATGATGGCTTGTTCGCCATGTGTCGTCGCAAATTCCACGTGCCGACGGGCTTCCCGGGGCTCCCGTGGGCTTGGTGCGATCCTGCCTCCTCCCATGCCAGGCATCGGCTGGGCGACGCCGTCACTGGCTGTGCCTGAGCGTTGTCCCATGCTGTCGTGTTGTGTTGGTGTGCCGGACGAGATGATGATCGGCTCGTCCGATTGTGCAGATGCATTTGTTGGTGCGTGTGATGTCGCCGGAATGTTCACCGTGGACTGTTGACGGGCGGAGTCACGTTCCGCCGTGAGCGTCGCGATTTCGAGCGCCGATTCTTCCAGCTGACGCACGAGACGATCAAGCTGCTCCTGCGTCAATGTGGCAAGCGTGAAATCGGCCATGGCGGGGTGTCAGGCAAGCTCAGCGAGAGCCTCTGTCGTGGTCGTGCGTGCTTACGAGAGAGCACTACGAGCGGCGGTGCTGTGTCGCTGAGAGACGTCTACCCCCCCCAAAAATTGAGATGGTGGGGAAGCGAAGGTGTGGATGCGGTCCGAGATGAGATCGTAGGCTCTGAATACCAAGTGTTACGAGTGCAATTGAGTGAGCGAACGAGAATTGCACTATCGAAGCAGAAATACAATGAGCGAAGGCATGAGCGAAGAATATATAGCGAAACTACAGTGGTAACGGTAACGGTGGTTGTCGCGCGACGAGCCTGGGACTGAGGTAGGGAACATGTCGAAGCGTAGGCCCGGAGTGCGGGTTACCCGCCGAGCCGTGAGGTCGGGATGCGATGTGCGAAAATGGCGGGATGATTGTCGATGCGATGATCGCGAGTGGTAACGGTGCGGACTGAGGTGCTACAGTGATGTACGCGTTGAGCAGGGACGCGAAGTAAGGAAAAGGGATTTTCCTTACATATACTCGTCTGGGACCGAAGCTGCTGAGCCCCCTAGGGAATTTATTTCGACGGGAATATCCATCCACATGTCCTACTCAACCGTTGTAGATGCGCTTCTGAACGTTCTAGACCGCAACGAAACGAATGTTTCTTCGCAACAACCAAGCAGACTTTTCGAGGGGAAGCTTTGCTCACGCACGTAGCGTCAGGCTGACAAGGTTTTGCCAGGATCAATTTAGGTCAAAGCACCACCACAATGAACGGAACGGAGGGTCGTCACGCTGCTCGTGATCATCAGGCAAGTTAAATTCTTCTTTGATTTTCGATAATGGCGTCAATTTCTTCCGAGCGCCAGCCTTCCGCATTTGCTTCGACAGAAACGCCAGTGCCGCCACTGGCAGCGCTTACGGATGCCCTGTTTAATGACCTCGCGAAGCAATTTGCTGCAACTAGAATCGCTTCTAGCGAACCCAGTGAAAGGTGTACTGAATCGGAATTAGCCATGAGACGCGCGGCGGCGGAAGCACGAGGCGCGTTCACGGAATCAAGGGACAGAAGCATTGACGGAAGGGATGTGGATGCAATGACAGCCAAGGAAGCTAGAGACGCGTCGCGTGACGGCGACGAAGCCGAGTTCACGATCAGTGCAGCGACGGCAGCTAAGCTTGGTATGATGGCCTGTTTTGAGATGTCTCGGAGCGTGACATCCACAAGTTACACTACCAGTGCTAATGGCGGCTAGGTTTGGCATAATGGCTCCTTTTGAGACGTCTCAAAGCGTGACATTGACGAAATTGAGATCATTATCAGTGCAGCGGCGGCGGCTATGCTTGGAATGATTGCTTGGTATTCGCCTGCCCTGATAGTGCTTCCTCTGGCATGTCCATTTTGTAAAAACAAATCAGGAGGTTAAGTGTACCTTCGCACTGGCATCTCGTCCACCACTTTTGTATGCATGTTTCTGTTTCTATTGTTTCCTCGGGTACATTCTGAGCCATTTTGAGTTCCTTTGAACCCTAGTTTTCCGCCTTCTTCTCTCCCATACTCCCACCGTCCTTTGGCTTCGTGTATGCAGTTTCCGACAGCAGCCTTGGATCGTGAGTCTTACACCTTTTCCTAAAACACACTCACATACACACACACACACACACACACACACACACACACACACACACACACACACACACACACACACACACACACACACACACATGCATGCACATATGCACGCACACACTACACACCACACAACAAACGCGCACCACCACACACAACACAGGACACACAGCATAAGGCACACGCGACCTGCCATTTCCTTCCTCCACTCGTGCCTACAAACAAATTTTCCTTCACCATTCACCAGTTTCAACACCCTTTTAATCTCTGAAAAAATGCATTCTCTCCCAGTGCCTCTCAGGATCGTCTGTAAATATTCATAGAATCTCCCGTCGTCGTGTTGTGTCTGTCTACATTTAACCAGTTTTTGGCTCGCTCCCTGCATCTCTCGCTCTTCAGCTTGAGGGTTCTGTTTCAGTCTCAGCTGGACAGAGCCTTGGCCATTCTGGACCACGGCGGGGTGACCAAGCTGATAGCCCAACCCAGCGGCAGAAGCGCGTTTCAGGTGAGAAAGGTGTCTTCAGCCCGTTAGTTTGATTCTTCAAATAGTATAAGCCTCAGAACTTGGGGCCATTCTGGACCATGGCGGGGTGACCAAGCTGGTAGCGCATCCCAGTGGCAGAAACGCGTTTGAGGTGAGAAAAAAATATTCAATACATGGCTTCAGCCTGCTTGTTTGGTCCTTGAAACAAAACAATATTCTAGCTTGCTTGTTTTCTTGTCTTTTCAACAAGAAACTAAAACAATCTGAGGCTTTCTCAATCCAGAAACCCATCATGGATCGTCTGGAGGTTTGTGGCAACTTCAAGAGGATTTTTTTTTTTTTTTTTTTTTGTCGGGATTCAATCACTCGAGAAACCCGTTATGGACCTCCTGGTGGATTGTGGCTACTCCAAGGGTTCTTCAGGAAGTCAATTTGTGAGGCGCATCAAGAATGCCTTTGTTCATCTCCTGTCAGCCTGCTCATTCCACCCTGCTCATTCCACCCTGCTCATTCCACCCTGCTCAATCAACCCTGCTCAATTCACCCTGCTCATTCCACCCTGCTCATTCCACCCTGCTCAATCCACACTGCTCAATCTACCCTGCTCATTCCACCCTGCTCATTCCACCCTGCTCATTCCGCCCTACTCATTCCAACCTGCTCATTCCACCCTGCTCATTCCACCCTGCTCATTCCACCCTGCTCATTCCACCCTGCTCATTCCACCCTGCTCATTCCACCCTGCTCATTCTACCCTGCTCATTCCACCCTGCTCATTCCACCCTGCTCATTCCACCCTGCTCATTCCACCCTGCTCATTCCACCCTGCTCATTCCACCCTGCTCATTCTACCCTTCTCATTCCACCCTGCTCATTCTACCCTGCTCATTCCACCCTGCTCATTCCAACCTGCTCATTCCACCCTGCTCATTCCACCCTGCTCATTCCACCCTGCTCATTCCACCCTGCTCATTCTACCCTTCTCATTCCACCCTGCTCATTCTACCCTGCTCATTCCACCCTGCTCATTCTACCCTGCTCATTCCACCCTGCTCATTCCACCCTGCTCATTCCACCCTGCTCATTCCGCCCTGCTCATTCCACCCTGCTCATTCTACCCTTCTCATTCCACCCTGCTCATTCTACCCTGCTCATTCTACCCTGCTCATTCCACCCTGCTCATTCCACCCTGATCATTCCACCCTGCTCATTCCACCCTGCTCATTCCACCCTGCCCATTCCACCCTGCTCATTCCACCCTGCTCATTCCACCCTGCTCATTCCACCCTGCTCAATCTACCCTGCTCATTCTACCCTGCTCATTCCACCCTGCTCATTCCACCCTGCTCATTCCACCCTGCTCATTCCACCCTGCTCATTCCACCCTGCTCATTCCACCCTGCTCATTCCCCCCTGCTCATTCCACCCTGCTCATTCTACCCTTCTCATTCCACCCTGCTCATTCTACCCTGCTCATTCTACCCTGCTCATTCCACCCTGCTCATTCCACCCTGCTCATTCCACCCTGCTCATTCCACCCTGCTCATTCCACCCTGCTCATTCCACCCTGCTCATTCCACCCTGCTCATTCCACCCTGCTCATTCCACCCTGCTCATTCCACCCTGCTCATTCCACCCTGCTCATTCCACCCTGCTCATTCCACCCTGCTCATTCCACCCTGCTCATTCCACCCTGCTCATTCCACCCTGCTCATTCCACCCTGCTCATTCCACCCTGCTCATTCCACCCTGCTCAATCTACCCTGCTCATTCCACCCTGCTCATTCCACCCTGCTCATTCCACCCTGCTCATTCCACCCTGCTCAATCTACCCTGCTCATTCCACCCTTCTCATTCCACCCTGCTCATTCCACCCTGCTCATTCCAACCTGCTCATTCCACCCTGCTCATTCCACCCTGCTCATTCCACCCTGCTCATTCCACCCTGCTCATTCTACCCTGCTCATTCCACCCTGCTCATTCCACCCTGCTCATTCCACCCTGCTCATTCCACCCTGCTCATTCCACCCTGCTCATTCCACCCTGCTCATTCTACCCTTCTCATTCCACCCTGCTCATTCCACCCTGCTCATTCCACCCTGCTCATTCTACCCTGCTCATTCGACCCTGCTTATTCCACCCTACTCATTCCACCCTGCTCATTCCACCCTGCTCATTCCACCCTGCTCATTCCACCCTGCCCATTCCACCCTGCTCATTCCACCCTGCTCATTCCACCCTGCTCATTCCACCCTGCTCAATCTACCCTGCTCATTCTACCCTGCTCATTCCACCCTGCTCATTCCACCCTGCTCATTCCACCCTACTCATTCCACCCTGCTCATTCCACCCTGCTCATTCCACCCTGCTCATTCCACCCTGCTCATTCCACCCTGCTCATTCTACCCTTCTCATTCCACCCTGCTCATTCTACTCTGCTCATTCCACCCTGCTCATTCCAACCTGCTCATTCCACCCTGCTCATTCCACCCTGCTCATTCCACCCTGCTCATTCCACCCTGCTCATTCTACCCTTCTCATTCCACCCTGCTCATTCTACCCTGCTCATTCCACCCTGCTCATTCTACCCTGCTCATTCCACCCTGCTCATTCCACCCTGCTCATTCCACCCTGCTCATTCCACCCTGCTCATTCCACCCTGCTCATTCTACCCTTCTCATTCCACCCTGCTCATTCTACCCTGCTCATTCTACCCCGCTCATTCTACCCTGCTCATTCCACCCTGATCATTCCACCCTGCTCATTCCACCCTGCTCATTCCACCCTGCCCATTCCACCCTGCACATTCCACCCTGCTCATTCCACCCTGCTCATTCCACCCTGCTCAATCTACCCTGCTCATTCTACCCTGCTCATTCCACCCTGCTCATTCCACCCTGCTCATTCCACCCTGCTCATTCCACCCTGCTCATTCCACCCTGCTCATTCCACCCTGCTCATTCCACCCTGCTCATTCCACCCTGCTCATTCCACCCTGCTCATTCTACCCTTCTCATTCCACCCTGCTCATTCTACCCTGCTCATTCTACCCTGCCCATTCCACCCTGCTCATTCCACCCTGCTCATTCCACCCTGCGCATTCCACCCTGCTCATTCCACCCTGCTCATTCCACCCTGCTCATTCCACCCTGCTCATTCCACCCTGCTCATTCCACCCTGCTCATTCCACCCTGCTCATTCCACCCTGCTCAATCTACCCTGCTCATTCCACCCTGCTCATTCCACCCTGCTCATTCCACCCTGCTCATTCCACCCTGCTCATTCTACCCTGCTCATTCCACTCTGCTCATTCCACCCTGCTCATTCCACCCTGCTCATTCCACCCTGCTCATTCCACTCTGCTCATTCCACCCTGCTCATTCTACCCTTCTCATTCCACCCTGCTCATTCTACCCTGCTCATTCTACCCTGCTCATTCCACCCTGCTCATTCCACCCTGCTCATTCCACCCTGCTCATTCCACCCTGCTCATTCCACCCTGCTCATTCCACCCTGCTCATTCCACCCTGCTCATTCCACCCTGCTCATTCCACCCTGCTCATTCCACCCTACTCATTCCACCCTGCTCATTCCACCCTGCTCATTCCACCCTGCTCATTCCACCCTGCTCATTCCACCCTGCTCAATCTACCCTGCTCATTCCACCCTGCTCATTCCACCCTGCTCATTCCACCCTGCTCATTCCACCCTGCTCATTCCACCCTGCTCATTCCACCCTGCTCATTCCACACTTCTCAATCCACCCTGCTCATTCCACCCTGCTCATTCCACTCTGCTCATTCCACCCTGCTCATTCCACCCTGCTCATTCCACCCTGCTCATTCCACCCTGCTCATTCCACCCTGCTCATTCCACCCTGCTCATTCCACCCTGCTCTCTCTACCCTGCTCATTCCACTCTGCTCATTCCACCCTGCTCATTCCACCCTGCTCATTCCACCCTGCTTATTCCACCACCCTGCTCATTCCACCCTGCTCATTCTACCCTTCTCATTCCACTCTGCTCATTCTACCCTGCTCATTCCACCCTGCTCATTCTACCCTGCTCATTCCACCCTGCTCGTTCCACCCTGCTCATTCCACCCTGCTCATTCCACCCTGCTCATTCCACCCTGCTCATTCCACCCTGCTCATTCCACCCTGCTCATTCCACCCTGCTCATTCCACCCTGCTCAATCTACCCTGCTCATTCCACCCTTCTCATTCCACCCTGCTTATTCCACCCTGCTCATTCCAACCTGCTCATTCCACCCTGCTCATTCCACCCTGCTCATTCCACCCTGCTCATTCCACCCTGCTCATTCCACCCTGCTCATTCTACCCTTCTCATTCCACTCTGCTCATTCTACCCTGCTCATTCCACCCTGCTCATTCTACCCTGCTCATTCCACCCTGCTCATTCCACCCTGCTCATTCCACCCTGCTCATTCCACCCTGCTCATTCCATCCTGCTCATTCCACCCTGCTCATTCCACCCTGCTCATTCCTCCCTGCTCATTCCACCCTGCTCATTCCACCCTGCTCATTCCACCCTGCTCATTCCACCCTGCTCATTCCACCCTGTTCATTCCACCCTGCTCATTCCACCCTGCTCATTCCACCCTGCTCATTCTACCCTTCTCATTCCACCCTGCTCATTCTACCCTGCTTATTCCAACCTGCTCATTCCACCCTGCTCATTCCACCCTGCTCATTCCACCCTGCTCATTCCACCCTGCTCATTCCACCCTGCTTATTCCACCCTGCTCATTCCACCCTGCTCATTCCACCCTGCTCATTCCACCCTGCTCATTCCACCCTGCTCATTCCACCCTGCTCATTCCACCCTGCTCATTCCACCCTGCTCAATCCACCCTGCTCATTCCACCCTGCTCATTCCACCCTGCTCATTCCACCCTGCTCATTCCACTCTGCTCATTCTACCCTGCTCATTCAACCCTGCTCTTTCTACCCTGCTCATTCCACCCTGCTCATTCCACCCTGCTGATTCCACCCTGCTCATTCCACCCTGCTCATTTCACCCTGCTCATTCCACCCTGCTCATTCCACCCTGCTCATTCCACCCTGCTCATTCCACCCTGCTCATTTTACCCTGCTCATTCCACCCTGCTCATTCCACCCTGCTCATTCCACCCTGCTCAATCCACCCTGCTCATTCCACCCTGCTCATTCCACCCTGCTCAATCCACTCTGCTCATTCCACCCTGCTCATTTCACCCTGCTCATTCCACCCTGCTCATTCCACCCTGCTCATTCCACCCTGCTCATTCCACCCTGCTCATTCCACCCTGCTCAACCCTTCCTTTATCAAGCAGGTTCGCGGCAACCCCAGGAGCTCTGCCTTTCACATCTGCCTGCCGCACCATTACTGCCCGTGTCAGTCATTCTTCTATGACGCAGTCTCTCGTGGCGAGCAGCTCATGGTGAGTATGTTGCTGTAGCACAGAGGCCTATAACGAAACTCGCCCAATCTATGTCCTTCCACGTCTGACCCTGGCACCATAGCATGTATTCACATTTCTCCATCATGCAAGCATAGATGGGTCATAGCATATGAGCTGTGCAGCAGATGTGTGTTTCCCACGGAATCTCAATAGCCCGTTGTCTTGACAATTTCCATTGCCATTTTCAGTTTCCCCGTCTGAGGCTCATTCCCCTTATTCCTCCTCTCTTGCCCTGTGTGATTTACAGTGGAAGCATTTACCTGCCACTCGGCTAGCAGAGTCTTTCAAGCGTTACAACGTTTCACTTTTGAGTCGACTCCAAAATCACTTGTTCCCCCTCTCTTCCCCTTATGTTTCCTCTCTTTTCATGTGGGATTCCCAGTGCAAGCATTTGCTTGCAACTCGGCTCGCAGAGTCTCTCAAGTGTTACAGCGTTGCACATGTCAGCGATGGCGCCCTGTGCTTAGCCTTGTCTCAGATGTAATTAACAACCTCCTTGCATTCTTGCGATTGTGCTTTTGTATATATTAGCAGAGTCTCTCAAGTGTTACAGCGTTGCACATCTCAGCGATGGCGCTCTCTGCTTAGCCTTGTCTCAGATGTAATTAACAGCCTCCTTGCATTCTTGCGATATGTTTATTTTTAAAAGCTGTAACGCTTTTCAAAATTATGTACTTTGAAAGCGAAGCTGCTTGTAATGTAGGATTTGGCATCGTCGAGCCGCGCTAAATGCCCGTTTTGGAGTACAAAACGTGGGCTGGAGGTCATTTCCCTCTGTTGGGCTGAGAAGGCCCTTAAGGATCTTTGCAGAGGATAACTCTGGGTAAGAAACTTGTAATAGCGGAAGCGTTTAATGAATCTTGTGAACCGACCTTGCACTAGTGTGTGAGAGCAAAGTAGATTAAATTGAACAAGCAAATACAAGGTTTTATATAAGGGTACAGAGAATACGAATATATAGATAACTGTATTGCTGTTGCGATTCGATACAGTGCGACTCGGGCAACTGCTCTGTAACGAGTCAGTTGTGTGTCCTTAACTGTCGCGCTGTAATTGTCGAGTCAAAGGTCCCTGACCTTTGACTTTCTCGTAACCTCCAGGCGGTTACCCTAACCTCCGAGGTTTGACTCGATGCTCCGATTCGGACTGCTTCGCTAGTGTCTTGGATTTTGACACGACAGAAGCGCACTAAGACTTATTGTTTCCAACACTCCCCTTCGCTTCTGGAGTGTCGCCGCAGGTGACGTGGCCTTGTCCAGTCAGCATCATGCAGTATTCGAACTTCTGCTTTCCGAGCTTCTTGGTCAAGTAATCGGCTGCCATCTCAGATGTTGGACAGTATGACAGATCGAGTTTCCCCTTTTCGATCTCGTCCTTCACGAAGAAATAGCGCAGGGCGATGTGTTTCGTCCTGTTTGCGAAGCCGTTCTTGTTGGCGATGCGAATTGCTGACTGGTTGTCGCAGAACACGGTGAAGCTGGGTAACTCGGCTAGCTTCGCTTCTTCCAGTAGTTCGCGAAGGTAAAGTCCCTCCTTGGTGGCTGAGCAGAGTGCAATATATTCCGCTTCAGCTGAAGACAGTGCGATTAACTCCTGCTTACTCGACTGCCAGGAGATAGGACCGATAGGTTCGAGGCGGTAGACATAGCCGGTGCGTGAGGGTCTGTTATTGGTGTCGCCGGCGTGATCGGCGTCGACGTAGCCGATTAGCTTGGTCGGTGTAGTTGCGTTTTTGTGATAGGTTAATCCGATCGTTGCGGTGCTGACGAAATAGTGGAGAGCGCGATCGAGTTCCGCCAGATGCTCTGCTTCAGGCTTCTTGAGATAGGTGGCGAGCTGGCTCGCGGAGTAGGATAAGTCGGGACGGCATGTGACTGCTGCGAAGAGAAGACATCCGAGCTTCTTCTGATAGTCGCGTATGCCGGCGGGCTTGAGTAGAGTAGATCGTCCCTTTTCGGTTCCTGACGTGTAGCGGTAAGGCGTGGAGATGGCGCTTGGTGTGAGGCCGAAGCGTTTCGCGATGGTGTCGGCGTACTTCTCGGCGCTTAGATAGATTGCGTTTTCTTCCTCGCGGATGTTGAGCCCGAGGTACTGCGTAACGGTAGAAGAGACCGTAAGCGTGAGATCTTTCTGAAGCTCCCCTTCGAACCACGTGGCGATGCCGTCAGTTGACCCAATGTAGAGGAGATCGTCCACGTAGACGATTAGGAGAACGTAGTCACTTCCCTTTGTGAGGCGATACATGCCCTGGTCATGCGGGAGTTGTTTGAAACCGATGCGGATGAGGCGGGCGTGTAGGTACTGCTGCCACAGTCGCGGTGCCTGCTTGATCCCGTAGAGCGATTTAAGCAGTTGACAGACTCGGTTGGGTTCGCCGTGGGAGCCGTGCGGGAGCTCGACGAAGATTTCTGCATCTACAGGTGCGTAGAGGAATGCGTTTGCGACGTCGATTTGTCGCAATTTCTTTTTCTTCATGGCGGCGACGGCGATGAGGATTTGGAGTGAGGTGTGACGGCTGACCGGAGCGAAGGTTTCGGTGTAATCTCTTCCGTGCTCCTGGTCAAAGCCGCGTACGACCCAGCGAGCTTTGAATTTGTCGATGGTGCCGTCGGCTTTCGTCTTCACACGACAGACCCACTTTCCGGTAAGGATAGTCTTGTTTTGTGCTACGCCGATGGGAACGATTTTCCAGGTGTTGCGCTCCTCAAGTGCCTTCAGTTCTTTGTCCATGGCTTCACGCCATTTCTCCCTGTGTTCCCCCACCAGAGCCTGTTGAACCGTCGCAGGCTCCTTAGGAATGGCGGCGCCATGGAGAGCGGTGATGAGACCAAGGATTTGCAGCCCAGTCTGTGAGTATCGAGGGAGTTCTGGATCCTCGGGATAAGCTGCTTCGTCTCCCGCTTCTGGGTCGGGTATGAAATTCGGCCCTACCCTTTCTGCTTCGTTGGTGTTGGCTGTCGCAGGTGTTACGTAACCATTGTCGGCGAAATGGTAGAAGACTTCGGCGTTGTTACTGTCGCGAGGATTATCCTCATCCATGGGCACGTCGACGGAGCAGTACGGAAAAGGTCCGGCTTCCTCCGATGCGTTGTCGACGTTCTGCTCATCCCAGTCTGCTTCATCCGCTGCTGACGCGAAGGCTCGGTCACCACGAAAGCCACTGGTGAGGTCCCGATTCTCGTGCAAGTTGGCGAGGTACGTCTGAAGGGTGAGGCGTTCATAGAAGATCACATCTCGTGCTGCTACTGTTTCTTTTGTGTGGACGTCGAAGATTCTCCACGCGTTGTAATTTTTCTCGATGCCGAGGTGTAGTCCCCACTGTGCCCGTTGTGAGAATCTTCCCGCTCGTGCTTCTGGGGGTCTGTACTGTACCATGCACCCGAAGACTCGTAACATTCTTGTGCTGCCTTGCTTCCCTGTCCACAGCAGATGCGGTGATGCGTTGTTCGGGAGTGACGACGACGACAACAAGTTGTGCAGCATGACAGCATGGTCCATTGCTGCTGGCCACTGGTGGTTGGGTAGCCGCATGCCACGTAACAGTTTGCGCATGCTATTCTGCAGAGTCCTGTTCATTCGTTCTGCGATACCTTGCTGCTTATGTGCGTAGGGAAGGGAGAGGAGTTGCTTGATCCCCCTTTCCGCCAGGAACTGCTTGAAGCGCTGAGAGGTGTACTCGCCACCTCCGTCTGACTGGAAGCTTTTCAGTTGCGTTCCTGACTCTCTCTCTGCTATCGGTAGCCAGGCGGCGAATGCAGCGAGTGCCATGTCGCGGCTGGGTAGGTTACGATGCCAGACATATCGAGTGGCAGCGTCAATGAAGGTGATGGTGTAGTTGTAGTTAACTTGTCCTGGTTCGCGATTGTAGAGGATGTCGCTGTAGACCTTTTCGAGTGGTGCGTACGCTGGAGCGCTCGGGTTGTGATGTGGAGCGAACGGTCGATGAGGTAAGTCAGCTTCGGGACATATAAGGCAAGTCCCTCGTGCCTTCTGGAGTTCTCTGCCATCGGGTAGAAGTAGGGAGTCTTTGTCAAGAACTCCTGCTCTTATCGTGTTTTTTTAAAACCGTGTTGCTTGAATGTCCTGTGCGTGCGTGCCAGATCTCTTCAGAGGCGCGGTGTCCGGGTGAACGTTGGTACGCGTCGGAGTTGGAGTAAAAACTGGCGACGAAGTTGGCGCTTTGGTGGACTTCACGTTGAGTCGGATTCAGCTGTTGCGCTGGTTTTGGTGGTGCTTCGTCGACTGTGACCGGTGTCGTTGTTCCTGCTGCTGCTGATGTTGTCGCTGCTCCCGATGTTGTTGCTGCTGCTGCCGATGTTGTTGCTGCTGTCGATGTTGTCTCTGCTTCTGTTGTTTGTTGAATCGCCGCTAACGCTCGTGTTCGTTCTGCTTCAGGGATAGTGTGGGAGTACCAAAAACCTCCCGGGCTGAAGTCGGGGTCGAGATCAGGAGGGTGTGTCCAATCAGTAAAATTCACGATGGCGTCGCTGTCTGCAGTGCCCAGGTCAGGAACGAAGTCGAGGACGAAGACGTTGTTCTTCAGCACTGCCTTCCCGATGTAGAGACCGCCTTTCCCGTGGTATAGCTTGAACTCCTGGGTGGTGCTGTCGGCTTCTAGGTGAATCCCCTTTGCCATCAGCTGGCTAACACTCAGTAAGTTGTAGCCGAGTCCTTCAGCAATGAGTACCTTAGACATGTACAGTATGACATTTGTTTCTCTTGACTGAAGCTGTACCACTCCTTGTCGTCGTGTGCGCAGGTTTTGATTGTTGGCGACCGTGATGATTAGTTCTCGTTGGAGTCGATGTTTGCGTTATACGAAGCGCCCGGACGAGCACATATGTTGCCCGCAGCAACTGTCCAAGAACCAAGTGTCTTGGCCGGACGGTTCACTTTGAGCGATGGCGGCGTAAGTCGGATTCGGGTGGAGTGATTCGCGGCGAGGCGTCCTGTTGTCGAGCTCCTCTTCTGGTGAGTAA